AAAATTGATCGGAAAATGGAAGAGTTTGAAGAAATTGGTAATGACATTGATTATCTTGAACACGAAGCAAAGAAGAGCAATTTAAGAATTTTTGGCTTAAGCGAAACCAACAGTGAATCTATTGGTAGTCTGAAATCAAAAGTTATTAAAGAAGTGCTTAATGTTGCGAGTCCTGATGAATCATGGATACCTGATGATCTGAAATTTGTTTCAAGAAAAGGTAATAAAGCGGATGGAGTTTGTTGCATGGTGTTAGTCACTTTTAGGTTTGATGATGATAAGTTTAAACTTTTCAAAGGAAGAGATATAATACGGAATATTGGGATCAGAATTAGTGATGATTTAACGAAAAGACAAAGGCAAACACTAAATTAACTAAAAAGTGAGGGGAAAATGTTCATAAAGGTTAATTGAAATTGTTTGAAAATAGTGGCAAAAATACATAATCGAGTCAATCTGAAAATGAACATGGTGATCGTATCTTAAGAGTAGGGAAAAGAAGAGACGTAACTGAAACCAGAGTCGATATTCGGAACCAATCTATACGAAACATTCAAACTAATAGGATTACTGAGACCACCGATTTGACTGATACAGAGAGTTTAAATGAAGTTTCTTATATAGGATAATGCCCGAGGCTCAAACAAGGACATATCTTTGAACTGTTTATGTTGGAATATAGAAGGCTTTTGTAATAAGATATTTGATACTGAACTTACATCAATATGATATAGTTGTATTTTTAGAAACTTGGCTAACTGACCAATCACATGTTGAATCCTTTTTTACCAGAATATGATTTATATTTTGTATCAGCTATAAAACATGCATTAGCAGGAAGAGCATTGACTGGTATTGTTGTTTTTATCAGAACATCATTTAGCAAGAATGTGATACGAATCTTTCATTATTGTAATTTTGGTGTGTTCCTAAAATTAGATGACAATGTTTGTAAATGTAAAAAGAGTATAATTATGGGTTTTATATATTTATCTCAAATATCTTCCCCATTTTATAGTGGGAGAAGTCGGAAAGGTATTGCTATGTTAGAAGACATTATTATTAATTTGATGCAAGCTGCCAATTTAGAACTTATTATCTGTTTAAAGCAAATTAAAATATAAAAATAAAATAATTGTTTAGTTTTATCTTCGATTAATATAAAATGAATAGCATGACGCCAATTTGAACCTATTGCTACTTCAAATGAGTTTTCGTGAGTATTTTCAACTAATGATATAAAAATCAATCTTTTTGTTTGTCCAATGTTTTCAGTGTTTCAATTGAATGTCCATTGTGCCTCAGAAACAAATATATTTTTATTTTTTAGAAATGAAAAACACAGATTTTGTAATGTTTCAGAATGGTTTAAAAGAATATAATATATTTGTTATCCGAAGAAACAGACATATTTCTGAAATTATTGAAAGGATGCTGCAGGTACTTTGCCAATGAGTAAAGTATTTTTATAATGTGGGTAATAGTAGAGTCATGAAGCATGCGTGTAAAACACTTCATAAATAAAAAGAAATATAGATATGCAATACCGGACTTCATAAAGTAAAAATTTGCTTAACAAATTAGTTTGTATACCCCTAAAAAGAAAACAAGACATTTTTTAAAGAATGAATACCATTTTGTTTTACTGATTCGATGTTTATATCGATTATTGTCAACTGTAATGAGAGTAATTTTTCCGAATTATGCTTTTGAATTATTTAATATCTTTTTTGTAACAAGTCTTGTTTTATCCAATTTAATACATAAACAACTAACTTAAAGCAATTTAACAACAATTCAATAATTTGACCTTTATTGTAATGATCATTTGTAGCTCAAAGACAGGTTAAACGTTTCAAAAGGTATTATCTGTAAGGTTGTTTTACCCAAGTATAAAGATAAACCAGTCAGTTATCACCAAGTTATGTTCAGTAACAACAACAACAACAACAAAACAGTGAATATTCAATAAATTTACCGTCATTTTCAAAGTCATAATTGATCAGAGATCAATGTATGTTTGATATGCATGACAGTTTTATCCTAAATCACGCTGCCTTATAATATGAAGTCAATCCATTCATTAACAACAAATATATTGCCAGTTTCAGCAGAAATTTAAGAATTTCAATAATTTGACCTTCAAAGTCTAGGTAATTTTTTATTGAAGGTCAATGTTAGTCTGCTTAACTTGAAGGTCTATCCGAGAAGATTGTTGTGTTACAGTACAAAGACAATCCATTAAAAAATAACAAAGTTAATAGCAATTATGAACAAAAATCAAGCAAAATTTAGACATTTAACCTTAAAGGTCAAGGTCAAATATGAATCAAGGTCAAGTTAGGTCTGGTATTTTAGGGTCTTGTCCTAATGATTGTTGTGGCCAAGTTTGAAGACAATATACTTAGAAGTACAAAAGTTATGATCAACCCCAAAGTTTTTTGGACGGTAACTGCAACGGTCAAGGCGAAAGCAGACATTACTGTACAAATACCTATATTATTGTAACTTGTAACAATACCTCAATCTTAAATAATAAGGCGAGTTTAGAATAGTTTTTTATACTTCTCAAATCTAAATAATTGCATTGATTATAACAATTATCACAAAATATTTCCTATCTTGAATATAATTCCATAAGTCCATTTCGCCAGCATAGAATCCTGACACAAAGTATATTTCATATTTTAAGGTTAAGAGAAGAAGTTGGAAAAAAACACTAGCCACTCTTAATTTGTTCCTGAATTTTTTAATATTGACTTAGACGACGGTAAGCTTCATGAAAATAAGAAGAAAAAAAGTATTGTTTCGCTTCATTGTAAATTATCTGTCCTTAAATTTAACGAAACAGTCCGATTCAAGGGCAGATAACTCTAAAATGAGAACGGAGATCCCATTTTTTTCCCGTTTAAAATGTTGGTATTTGTTCAGCAATATCGTGCGGAGGGTCTTAAGCAATATCTTGCCGAGGGTCTAAAACTTGAACTGTCTAAAGATGCCACACCTAGTTTTTGGATGAATAGCTCTAAATCCTTTCGCGGGATAACATGATTCTTGCAGTGAAAAAAATGTGCTTACCGTGTCTACTATTTCCGGTTGGTTTCACCTTGAATAGTTCCTATCTTCTGCAAATAAGTGACTCTTTAGGCTAGAATTATTTAATTTCAGTCGAGAATATATTTCATCAAACTTTCTATTACGATGATGTGTCAACTAACTAGGTGGTACTTGATTGATACATATTTTATTGGTTGCATTTGATCGGTACACGTTGCAGAATCGTAATCACACGTGCCTCCAGGTAGCTTTCGGAACGTCGATTGTTCTAGTCAGGTGACTGTAATGTTTGGAAGGGCACCCGATGTTTTCCACCAGAAAAGCTGGAAAGTCACAATGTGACCTTTACTGTTTTCGTGTGAAGTAAAACCCCATCAAACACACATCCTTAAAATATCACAATTAATAAAACATTAGAACATTTGAGGAATATGACCATTATTTATGGTCATAATGCAAGTCAATAAAAATGTATGGTCCCTTAGAAACTTTTCACGGAATCCGATGATTAAAATTGAAGAGTTTAGAAAGCAAATGGTACCGTTATAACTACAAATCAAAAAGCTGAAAGGAATGTATGCATATGCCTCAAGTACATTGATTTAGTATGGTTATGAACGGTTCTGAAAAAAGCATGTTTCTAGACAAAAAAACGATGACTCCTTTCATAATGGTATTCTCTTATTACGCTCTAATGGAGTATTTTTCTTAGTTTGCTGTATTGTGGGCTTTTCTCCCATTTAATTGTTGGGAGATTTCTTAAATGTCCATACTGTGTTAGTTCCGCCATTATGATATTTGCAAATTTCTTTGAATATATTTCTTGAAAACCTATAAGTTTATTATAAGTTTGTTATATCCAACACATGTAAAATATTTACAAACACATATTTTATCTCCCGCGGTTTTATTCGCAAATTTTATAAAAATGGAGTTTCAACCACAATGGATTCTCCATGGTACACATACAACCTAATGGGAGAATGGAAATAACCCATTGGAGGCCCAACTTTGAACGCTTGTCCAGCGTTTAATTAGTGTGCTGTCTTTATATAAACGGCCAATAATTGTCTGTTTTGATGAAAATTACTATTTGATTCATTTTTTGTATTGAACTATTATAAAGGGTACTTGAGTTTGCTAAAATTCTAGCTTTGCAAACTTATTCCGGTGAAAATTTTTTTTTCATAAAACATAATGCGTACAATAATAGATAAAAATGCACAAGATCATTAAATAAATAGAAAACTATATGATAACAAGAGGGCCATCATGAACCTATATCGCTCACTAGGTGTAAGGCCTTGAATGACAGGGGTCGAATAAAATCCAAAATGAGGCGTTATGCAAATTTGCATCTCAAACTCATCACAATTAACCCAAATCACATATTGTGTCCCTGAATCTCATCATTGAATCAAAATAAATAAATAAATATATACTTTGGGCAATTTATCACCAACGTGGGACGAATGGTCACTATATTTCATCTGCTCCGTATATGCTAATGTAAAATCATATTAAATCATACACAATAAGTTTAATTTGTTTAACAATAAATCTCTTCAGATACTGAAAGTGTAATTTTGCTCCTAAAATATGGTTGTGTTATCTTAATATCGCGCTTAAACAGTTACTGTATTCACTTTTGGTTGTTATATAGTTCCTTAGGTCTTACATATTTTTTTTTCTATTTATGTTATTAATATGTCATACTTTGAGCATATAGCACATAACTAAACATACACTAAATAGCCAAATTGTATATTATAATTATATTCTCTATTTGTGAATGCATGAAATAAATATATGCATGCAATATGTTTGAACTATAATTGCCCATAAGACTGTCATATTTTCACACAAACACTATCAGCATTATTAAACAACGGTATTAGAATACACCTTGAAGGTAAGGTCGTATTTTATTTCGATGATATGAGCAGGTAGTCGGTAAACTTACAACAGCCACGGTGGATTTTAATTCAGGGCAAAACACAAATCTGACTTTAAAGATATGGAAAATGTTCGCATAGTGCTGCTATTTATTGTCTCATTTACCATAGTAGTATGTGCTATCTACTGGTTTGTTGGTGCAACAGCTCCATCTATGGAACTTTACAATAGCGTTCCCGAAAAGGAAAATGTGAATATGAAGAGTGGACTAAAGGTAAGTTAAATAAATAAATAAATACTCTTAATTAATTAGAATATTTTATAAAAAATATAAATTAATAAAAATTTATTTTCAAAATTACACTTATTCATAAGAGGGCTGGTTTATTTTCTACGCAGAATGCTCCTCTCATAAACATAAATAAAAAATCAAAATTTGACAACTTGATTAAAAACCTAATTTTACGGCAAGTATTTGGAAGGTTGTTATAATAGTTCCGAAAAGTAAACTGTATCAATTGGAACAACTGATGCTTTTGACGAAAAGCTGAAAAATTAGAATAATGTAGATTTGACTCAACAAGTACTATCGTTCAAAGTTAACTTTACATGAAAGCAATGTTTCAAAATTGAATGCTATCTCTACTTCGACCGTGATGAAAAATTAACGTAACATAATTATTTTTCAACGTTTATGTTTTTTCCGGTTTCAGTTATAAATCAATCAACCGAGCCTTTCATCCAGCTAAAGTAATATAATTATATATATCGACATTTCTTAATTGTCATCCTCGGATAAGTTATTATGATGAACGACATGTAACTATATCTGACAAATATTTTTATTAATTTATTTTATTTTAGGTAGGAAAAAAGGTCATTAATTTTACGAACATGCGACTAAGCATGTATCCGAAGCAGATTGTATACATCGATGTATATAATGATTGTAGAATATTGTCTTACAATCAACGTATGTTTTTGAAAAATATAAGAAGAAAGCAGTAGTTCTTGTATATAAGTTATTGGAATTGTAATTTATTTTTTAATAAAGGAACTAAAATATAAATATCCGTTGTTTACCTTATTGGCATGCTAAAGTTTTGATTATATTGTTAAGCAAATGAATTAGCGATACGTTTAAATCGTTCAAGTAATGTCAGCAGTAGGATGACACGTTATTTCGTTATATTTTATATATTTTGTTAAATTGTGCCGCACTCAAATTATTTTATTGATAGCGGCCTTCATGTGATATATCTGTGGCATAAACTTTCCATATTTTCCATAAGTTTTATATATATTTGCAGACTACCGAAACCAAAACGCCCTCGATAATTATCCAGTATGGAATGCCGCGCACAGCCACTACTTTGCAGTTCAACATTCTTTGTGCAATTGTGTCATTGCAACATATAAGTGAAATAGGAAGTGTTGGATGTTTTTACAATAATAGATCTCTAACACAATTGCCTAAATATTCTGTAATCAAGACACACCAAATACAATATTACTATGATATAGTACCTCCAGGAACGTGGGTGGTTACAACTTTAGACAAAACACGTCAACGAAATCTACAAAGAGAAATTAAATCCATTCATTCTAATATTACCAGTCCGTTGAGTATAGAATTTTCAGTTGTAAAGGCACTCGGGGCGTCTATTGTATACAAATACCAATCGCTTTTTAGTGTGTCTGATGAAAACATTGAACATGTTCTAAACTATATAAAGCTTTGGGAAATGCTTCGTATATGTTGTGGACAGCAGATGTCTGGAAAGTGGCGTGCCTTCCTTGTAAGAAAAACATATGCTTTGTCTTCACGATCGCCATGTTTAATGTATAATATAAGTGAAATTGAAAAACGTTTCATAAACACCCATATATATAAGCTTTTTTCTGACAAGCCTCTTGTACGCTCTGTATTAACAAAACCATCTATAAGAGATGGGAGATTAAATGGAAAATACTGTGAAATGTGTAACAGAAATATATCTCTAAGAAGAATTAAACATTTCAAGCGATGTTTTTAGAATCAGTATCAGTATGATATCGTAGGATGCCGTATGAAATTGTTATGAACACGTTAAAATCGTTACATTTATGTAACACATTAGCCTTTATGATGATTAAAAAAGAGTTGTTTTAATTTCAACTGGTTAACTACTTGTTAAATCCCTTTATCTAAAGTATAAAAATGAATGTGTATTAACTTGGTTGTTTCTTAACATTAATTTGACTATATCAGTGTAAAATGTAAACATATTTATAGTTATATTAATGTTTAATGTCTTTGCCATATCGTGCATGTGTGTAAATGGTCAAAGACAATGTTTATGTATATATATGTATATATATATATATATATATATATATATATATATATATATATATATATATATATATATATATATATATATATGCGCAGTTTTATAAGATAATTTGAAGTCTCCTAGATGGAGACTACTAGTTCCGTTTTTTTGTTTAGTGTTGTTGAGCATGGCATTTAAAAAATTTATGAGTGAAAAGCAAAAAACTTTACAAGAAGCAATTACTTGCGCAATGAGCGAACAGAATTTCAGAGCTAGATTTTCTGCCAGAGTAGGAAAGTTTTCTAATATCAAAATCACGCAAAATACAATAATCACAGAGCAAATAATTTTAATCATTATTATACAAGATTTTTTTTGCGTTTATTGTTGGAGGTCATGTCATTATGTGCGTAATTGTAGATTTAGGAAAAATGAAATATATTCTGTATTTCAGCGACAAAATTTTTCACGGTTTAGGAAAAAAAATAGCAATAATAGTTTGAAATCAAAGATTAAGTGCTGGAAAGGTTACATATTATGCGGGAATGTCGTAAACAAATTTTTTACGACAGAAACAAAATAAATTTTCAGGAAAACTAGCAAGTTCCTGTCAAAAAGGGGTCTCTGACAGGAACGATAAAAATACTAAAATTTAGTATAGCATGAGCGGGTAGCCCTAATTTATGTTTTGATTAAAATTGAAAACTATAAATACAGATCGTTATTAGATTCAGGTGCTGATGTTTGTCTTCTGCATCGCAGAATATATAGAATATTGAAGAATCCTCCTCAACTTATAAAACAGAAAATAAATTTATGTTCAGTTGACGGTAATTATTTACATATAGATGGTTATATAAATCTCACTTTTCAAATAGGGAAAACAGAAACAACTCAAAAATTCTATGTTGTTTCTAAAATGAATAATAATCAGAGTTTGTTGTTGAAATGTATATATTGATTTGAGACAGTTAAAGATAAAAAAAAACTAAAAAAATAGTGTGAACTTAACAATTACATGCTAGTTCTCCAACTGAGAA